TGATTCTTACTCCCTCTAACTAGATTTTCTTCTTTCTGAGTGGTGTCCACTTTGCCTTGTGGGGAGAGGGGCATCCTGTACTTTCTATTTTCTGTATTCTTCTTCCCATGAGGAGATCTTTCTAACACTTTCTTATCTCTCCCCTCCCCCAGTCAGATGTCATGACCACAACCTCCAAGATCTCCAAGATCACTGCTTGGTCCTTGATCTGTTTCTTTGACTTTGTTTTCTCCAACTGTTTCATAAGCTCTGTATCTGCCCACCCGGGCAACTCTTCCTAAGAATCCTCTTTGCTCTTCTCTTTATGTTCCTTCCCTGTTCTTCAGAACCCTGCCTAGGAATACAAAGTACTTAGTGGGCATTTTTTTTTTTCTTTAATGGAATTTAAAAGAAACAGTGTTTTCATTTTTTTTTTTACTTCCCTGTTCTTCAGAACCCTGCCTAGGAATACAAAGTACTTAGTGGGCATTTTTTTTTTTTCTTTAATGGAATTTAAAAGAAACAGTGTTTTCATTTTTTTTTTTAAAAGGAGCACTTTGTTTTTATCATGAAGATGAAAGTACAGGGACAAACACTCAAAAAATTAGCATAACTGATTCAGAATCACAAAATCTCTGAGTGGTGGAACATTTTCATAGAAGTGGTACAGCAATAATAAAACATCTAGGTTTTTTATGGACTTATAAACTACTGCTTTTTGTTGTTGTTAGTTTTATAGAAATCTTGTCAAAGAATATGAAGAAAAACAGAGAAAGATTCTGCGACAGAGAGAGGGAATTTGTGTATACATTCAAGGTGGGAAGTCAGTGCTTAGAACTGAGGGTACCCCTCAAATTTCCTGTGCAAGAGAATGCCAGTCATTTGCATGGACGTCTGATGCTGCTGCACAGTTTACCGTGCTTCATAGAGAATGGTGAGGCCTTTTTCTTTTCTTTTAAAGTAATTACCAGTTTATTATTTTCCTATAGTCTCTGTCATTAGACGTTTCATATTAGAAAGCATAAACTTAAGAAGCATTGGGAACAGCCATAAAATATGAATTGTTTAACTGCTTCCAAGAATAAAAAAGGTTTCCCAGACCTTTGTTTTGAGTGTTTTTTCCTGTAACCCTCGTGGTTGTTTATAAAGCAGTTTAGTATAAAAATTAAATTATATAATAAAAAATTAGTTATGAAGTCTGATGAGAATTCCTAACCTCTGAATTTAGGTGGGTGGTTGCATAAGGCATTTCAGCTTTTACTAATTATGGTATTATAGAATTTTATTGTTAAGATGTTTGCCGGTTTAATGACTTGGTCATCAATTCCTGAGATGCCAGGAACAGAAGGAGTACTAATCTTTGAATAATCCTTGCTTACCTAAATTAGTTCCATAAAGTGATCTGTGTTAAACTGTTTTAAAAGGTTTTCATGTTCTATCTCGCAGGCTAGGAAAAAATTTAAAATTGAAAATATTTTGGATCATAGAAGGTTAGAGTTATAAGTGAACCTAGAAGCTTTCTAGCACAATTACATTGTGCAAACAAGGAAAGTGGGACATAAATAGGTTAAATGATTTACCTAAGGCAGTGGTTTGCAAAATATGGTCCCTAATCAGCAGCAACAGCATCACCTGGGAACTTGTTAGGCAAAATCTTGAGCTCCACCCCATTTCTGCTGATTCAGAAACTCTGGGGGTGGCATGCGGCAATCTGTTTCCAGAAGGCCTCCAGAGATTCTGGTGCACACTCAAAATTGTGAACCACTATCTAAAATCACAAAAAGTGAGAGAGCCAAGGACAGAACACAGGGGTCCTGACCTCCATGCCAGTGCTTTGTCATTACATCAGTCTCTGAGTAGTGACTCTAAAATTGAATTCTGAATTAAATCAGTTTTAATATGCTAGTCATTCAACTTCTCTCTCAAATTCAAAAGATAACAATATACCCTTTAAAGATATGTAGGAAACTCTTTTTCACTTAAATACATTAACCTTCAGACCCTGAAAATATCTAGGTTTTTCTTTATGTACTTATACCTACTCAGCTTCAAACTGATGTACCAGGCTTAAGGAATTAACATAATTAGTATTAGGGTAATGCATAAGAGTTAAGAATTTTGAGCTATCTCCATGGACTTTCACCTATAATAAAGAAAACTACTTGTGAAATCAGTTATAAGCTTGATAAAGTAAAATTTCACATTGGACTGCTTAGTCAGGTAATGTTTTCTGCTTATGTCTGGATTTTGCTGATGACAGCAATCATTGTCCCTGTTACAGACTTAAAAGAAGCTCTGAGCCAGTTTGTAGAAGAAGAATCCCTTAGAGATTATGATAGAGATGCCGAATCCTCTTTAGAAGCTGTGAAATCAGGTGAAGTAGATTTACATCAGCTGGCAAGTACATGGGCCAAAGCTTATGCTGAGGTAAGAAAGTTGGTCAGATTATAAATTTGGAGGACATTCTGGACTTTGACGAGGATTTTTAAATTGCTAAGGTAATACTGAAACAGATCCATAAAACTCTTTTTTATCTACATACCAAGATTCCATAATATGCAGTATGTTTTGCAGCTTCTGTGCTTCCTTACTGCATTAGGGTGAGCACATAAGACAAAACACTTTATGTAATACCTTTGTAAAACATGAGGCTTCTTTTGTATTTCTAACCAGCATAAGGTTACCAGATTTAGTAACTAAAAATACAGAATAACTAGTTAAATTAGAATTTTATTTTATTTTTTTCCATGAAATGTATCTGAGAAGTCTATTATTCTTATTTTTTTTAATTTTATTTTATTTTGTCAGTATACAATGTGATTGATTATTTTGGCCAGTTACCGAAACCTCCCTCCCTCTTCCCTCTGCCCCCTCCCTTGCAGCAACCTCATATCTGTTTGCTTGTTGTATCAACTTCAAGGAATTGTAATTATTGTGTCTTCTTCCCTCCCCCCCCCGCAGTTTATTTGTGTATTTATTTATTCATTTATTTTTAGCTCCCACAAATAAGTGAGAACATGTGATATTTCTCTTTCTGTGCCTGACT